AATAAAAATGGACATGTACCTTTTTATTGTTCTATCAAAAAGAGATTACAATTTGAAAACAACTATAAGTGGATTCAAAAATTCACTAACACTAACTATCAAGGACCCAAGTATGTATGGGTACCAAAGACCAAAAATTGAATTATTTTTGTAGGTACCAAGGAAATTAGAAAGCAAATTGACCTTGGATGGTGAATGCTCAAAACACATGACCGGAAATCAAGCTTTATTGTCAAGATTTAAAATAAAGAATGGCGGTCATGATACTTTTGGAAATAATGCGAAAGGAAAAATTATTGACATTGAAATTATTGGTAATCATTCATCTCCCTTTATTGATTCGTCTTCTAAGTAGATAACCTTAGACGTGATCTGCATAGTTTTAATCAATTGTGTGTGAATGTTATCTTATCAAATTTGATTCTTTCAAGTGCATTATTGAGGATACTACATCAAAAGAGGTGATATTTATAGGAAGCCGAAGTAAGAATGTTTATGTCATAAACACTAAGTTTAAATGCGCAGAAAAATGTTTATCGAGTTTAAAATATGAGACTTGGTTATGAAACAGAAAATTATGTCATGTTAGAATGAACCTACTTTCAACATTTCCAAAAAATGTTTTGTTAAAAGGTTTGGAAAGTTTGAAATTTGAAAAATACAAAATTTGTAATGCATGAAAAACAAGTAAAGAGTTCTTTCAAATTAAAGTAATATTTTTTAACTACAAAATCTTTTTGACCTCTCCATGTGAATATTTTTGGATCATCTAGTATCACAAGCTTAAATTGTAAACATTATGATTTCGTCATTATTGATGACTTTTCTAGATTTATTTGAGTTCTATTTTTGAACCTAAAATATGAAGTATTGAATGCATTTAAACATTCTTGTAAAAAGGTTCACAATAAGGGATACATTAATATTACCATTACGAGTGATCATGGTGGAGAATTTGATAATATTGCTTTTGATGATTTGGGCAAAACTTATGGTTGTGAACATAACTTTTTGGCTACTAGGACTAAGCTTCCGAGATCATATGTAAAGGTATAACACTTTGATATTTAGTAATGAATGACAATAGCTCAAAAATCATTTTTTATACAAGGAGTTATTTTCATATCACTTGCATAAAATATTTTTGATCAAAAGTAAGATTGATTTTTCAAAATGTACTTGAACTTAGATCATATCTCTTTTAAAAAAAAAAAAAAAAAGGCAACAGTCAACCTAACGTCCGGTTGACCAACCGGACCGTCCGGTTTGACATAAAAACTTCTGTTAATCTGGACATCCAGATAGATGAACCGGACCCCAACGGTCAGTTTTTTGACCGTTTTGACCGCAACGGCTAGTTGGTTGTTCGGATGAGTTCCAGACGTTCGGATGTTCATCCGATCGGGCAGAATATTGGACAGTTTGACTGCTATAAATGCCAGCTCACTTATTATTCATTTTAACACTTGAGAGCATTCGAATGTGATACTTTTGAACAAAATTATATTGATTTCTCATCTCATTTATTATTATCAAATCATTTATCTTTGAAAAACTTTTGATCAAATTAACTTTTGAAAATCTAATCATCAAAATTTTGCATTTGAAAAATATTCGTTGAGTTTGCATTTTTACTTTCATTTAAATTTATTTTTTCATAGCAAAAAATTTTGATTATTGGATCAAATTTCTTGAATCATTTTTCTTATCAAAGTTTTTAGTTCTCTTTGTGCTTAACTTATCTATATCAATTTTGAAATAGATATATTTTTGAAAATTGATATAGATATATTTTTGAAGAAGATTTTTACACTTATATTGCATAAACTCTTCTTCTTCTTCATAGTGAAACTTTGATTGATTGAACTAAACTTCTAAAATCATCATATTTATCAAAGTTTCTCATTTCTCTTTTAGTACTTAATTCATTACAATCATCTATTAAAAGAGAGATATTTATTGAGAAGATTTTTGAACCTATATTGTATTTGTTTCTTCATCTTCTCATTGAAACACCTTGATTGATTGAATCTAATTTTTGACTATCATATTCATCAAAGTTTTTTATCTAACACTTGAACTATTATTTATTACTATTCATTGAAGTGTTAACCTCTTTTAGTACTTAATTTATTTGTATTATTTATCGAGAGAGGAATTTCATTGTAAAATCACTTTGATAAATTGTGAGTCGCGTTGAAATTCCTTAAAGATCAACATTGTATAAGGATCGGTATTCCTTGTTGTAAGTCACTGTGTGGGTCATATTGAGGTCCCNTACTTACCATCTTTATATTGCTCAAAGTGCTTGTGCTTAATTATCTTTGTATTTGTGCACATTTGTTGTATTGATATAATTGCTAGTATATTGTTTAAGACTTGGATTTATTTTACAAAAAGGTTTAAAAACCAATTCACCCCCTCTTGGTTAGCTATTCTTGGACTTTCAATTCATCTAATGATGACCTTAATTCTTAATTCAAGATTCTAGCCTAATGTAGTGTTCGGTCAAATTCTCCTGTTGTATTTAATTTACCCCTCTCAAGTTCTTATTGAACCTATTTAACTAATTCAATTTCATATCTCTATGTGAATTACCCTTAGTTAAATGAAATACGGTTCTAAGAATTCCTATTACGATTGCAATAATTAGTATATGTATCTCTACACGTTATACTATTTTACCGAATTTCATTATACGGTCTAAACCTCAAATTCACATCTCGATTTGTAAAAAAACTCAAGTAATCATCAAATTATTGGCCAGATAATTCAAACCATTAAGATCATAACAAAATCAACACATAAAAGTAAACCACAAAAATCTTTGAATAAAAGAATCAAGGATCACAAAAGACTTCATTGTTTGCCATAATCTAGAGTTTAGTTGTGCATAATGTAAAAGGAAAAACAATAAATGTCTTTGAGTATATCACTGGATTAATTGAATAAAGACATAGAAAAGAATCAACTCTTACACCAAGGTCTTCTCCCACTTCCAATCTTTGCTTTAAACTTGAATCCCGTGATGAATTTCTTCTTTTGATTTAGGTCTTCGATCTCTCGTTGTATCTCTCTTTTTTCAATGTTTGCAACCCCTAAAATTTCCTCATTTCTTCTATTTATACTCTCCTATACAATTTTCCAAAACTTGGAGTCTTTCTTGGCTTTTCGTAGCCCAAAACAACATAACCCTAAAATTTGCGGCGCAGTGCCTAAGTGCTAGGATGCAGCGCCTAGGCGCCGCGATGACCTTTGAAGCAGCGCCTGGGCATTGAGTCGCTGTTCTAAATTCTATGTCTAATTTAGTATTTTTTTATTTTTTTAATCATAACGTTTTCTCCAAAAATTCAATTAAGGCAATTAAAAATGCATTGGAAATGTAACTTAAAGGGCTACAACTTTGATAGAAATAGCTATTTTCCAATTCTAATTATGTTTCCAAGTTATTGACCTTCAGAAATAAATCTAAAATTATACTGCTAGATGGATGAAGTTTGGAGTTAAATAACAGGAGAAAAATTCATACTCTTCATTGTTTGATTGATTTCGTAAGTATATGAATCTTGACAAGTAATAAAATAGGACTAAGAGTTTGAATTATCGTTCCCACGTAAACTAAGTATTTATTATAATATTTATCATAATCTAGCTTTAATCAAAATTAAGGTGGAGATCTATTTTCAAATCAATTTTTTAACTAAACTAATCTAAACATATCTACTATTTACAAAGTTTATGAAGAACTATTGGGATTAAGTGGTAAGAAATTTCGAATTCACCCTGGTCAATTTAATATTCATTCAATATATCCAATATCATTTAACAACTCTTTCATATGTATTCACAATCGAATTAATCAATTTAGTTAAAATCTCTCTCGAGTGAAACTTACCCTTTTCCGAACTTATTATATCTCTATGTAAATTCATACATATGTGAAAGCATTCAATTGTAGGAATTCTACCAAGATTGCGTAGTCTATAATCAATTCTCGATCTCTTATAACATCTATGTCATTTATTGCAGGAACTAGACAAATGTATCTCACCTAAATCTCAATATTATCCTTGAATCAAGTAATTGATGGTTAAGGAACTGGATGTAATTAAACATAAAATACGCAATTATTATTATTTTTTTTAATGGAAGGAGGGTGGTACCTCCAAAATTTTATTAATAAGTCTTCTCTTGTGACGGAGGAATACTGTGGTTATAGCTGAAAAGAAACGGAGAAATAAATGGGGAAGTACTATTTCCCTTACAACAGAAATAAAGTAAAGCAGTAAAAAGGAAGTGCTACTTCCCTTTGAATATAACCTCATTACTATGACGGGAAACGAAAACAAGGCAAGTTACACTTATCCAAGCGGATGCAACCAATAGTAGAAACAAGGAAACTGGAAATAGAGTCCAAGAAGTTTGAAATACCTTGAGCACCAAGACGCGCCAATGAATTTGCCGTCTGGTTAGCTTCTCGATAAATATGTGATACATTAATAGACATAACAAGAGCAAACTCCAAAATATCCTCCCAAATAAGACGAATAGACCAAGGTATGTTAACTTGTTGATGAAACCAATGGACCACCATGTTAGAATCTGTTTCTATTACAATTCTATCTATGCCAAGTACATAGCAAATTTGAAGGCCTATTCTCAGTGCTGATACCTCTGCTTGAGTGTTAGTACCAACCCCAAGGGAATGATAGAATCCAAAAATAACCTTACCTTGACTATCCCGAAGTAATCCACCACAACCAGCTGGGCCTCGATTACCAGCGCTAGCACCATCAATGTTTAGTTTGTAACAACCATGTTGTGGAGGGAACCATTTTACCAGGAATGGAGTCTTAACCCGTATTGGAACAGTAGGGATGTGTAATACCTGTGAGAAAAAGGAGGAGAGAGAAATTTTTCTAGGTTTAAGAAAACCATTCAATTCGTGTAGCCAACGAGTAACTTTTGCACAAATTTTGTACAAGTTAACAGCTTCATCTTTAAATCTTGCAGAATTTCTGGCCAACCACAGCTCCCATGAAAGAAGAGGTGGGAAAAGTCGAGCTACAAGATGCTCTTGTGTTGAACTGCCAAATTGTGAATACCAAAGTAATATCGCAGACCGCCAAGAAATATTTGTAAAAACTCTAAGCCCAAATAATTTACCAAAGTATTGCCATGCTTGAAGCGCAATAGAACCGGTTGCGAAGATGTGATCTTTTGTTTCTTCATGTCCCTGTGGACAACATTGACACTTGGAGACAATTGGAATTCCACAATGCCGAACTACATCATCGAGAGTAACCACATTATTCCAAAGGCGCCAACAAAAAATAGAAATTTTTAGTGGCATGGTGGGATTCCAAATGATCTTGTAAGGAAGGGTGGAAGATCTAGTAGGTCTGATAAGAGACCAAGCTGAGTTTGTATAGAAAAGACCATTACTGCAAGGGGACCAAACTAATTCATCACTACCTTTGCGAAGTTGGACTTGTGAGTGTTGAATTTCCTCCACTAAAGCTGAACCACCCAAAGAAAAAAGTTTATCCAAGTTCCATTTGCCATTTAAGACTACATCGTGAAGTCTTAAACTTGGGGAAATGACAGTCCAACCAAGTGCAGATAAACTACTCGAACCTCTCCAATTGTCATACCAGAAAAGAGCACTACCATCTCAGATAAGCCATCTGCTGTGTTCTAAAATGAATTTGAAGATATGGGAAAGATGTTTCCATATAGGTGAATCTTTAATACTTACAGGAATATTGGCCATGTCAAAGTGATGACTGAGGTATTTTTGTCTCAAGAAATTAGCCCAGAGGGAGTGCGAAGTGAGAATTCTCCAAGCCATTTTACATTGAAGCGACTTGATCACTTTAGAGAGATTGTGAATACCCAAAACTCCTTCCTCTTGTGGAAAATAGATATTCTTCCAAGAAATCCAATGACGTCTAAAACCATCTTCAGAGTCTCCCAAAAAAAAAAATCTGCAAAAAGAGCATGAATCTCTTTAACAACTTTTATGGGAGGGGGTGATCACTGAGAATAAATAGATAGGTATGGAGCCTAATACTGATTTAATCAAAGTGAGCTTACCACCCATGGACAGAAGCTTTCTTTTCCAACCCGCTAATTTTCTCCTTATTTTATCAAGCACTAGAGTGAACATAGAGGAGACTGGTTTGCCATAATGGAGAGGGGCTCCAAGATAAGTAAACGGGAGGGAGCTTTCTTTAAATCCTGTAGTGGTTGCAATGATGCGCTTTCTAGATGTTGCAACTCGCTTGTGGACTATAAAAGAACTCTTTGCCACATTAATTAACTGCCTAGATATACTTTCATAACGCCGAAGAAATCCCATTAAACTATTAAGACGACGTCGAGTTCCATTAGTAAACACCAAGAAATCATCTGCATAGAGTAGGTGGGCTATAGGAGAACATGTAGCGGGACCTGATAAGGAGCTGTTCTGCCATCTTCCAGAAGTTTTGTTAGGCCTCTACTTAGAGTTTCTTCTCTGAGGATGAATAACAATGGAGATAATGGATCACCTTGCCGAAGCCCACGGGAAGGAGTGAAAAATCTAGCTAAAACACCATTAATCTTAACTGAATACCGTGGTGAAGAAATAGCATTTTTAATGAGAGTGACCCAAGTATCAGCAAATCCAAATGCCTTTAACACATCTAACAAGTATCCCCAAGAAACCTGATCAAAAGCTTTTGCCATGTCCACTTTCATTATCACATTGGCGCCTCGAGAGCGCTTATTCAAGTTATGTACTAACTCTTGAGCTAGTACAACATTTTTAGAGATCATTCTACCAGTAACAAACCCACCTTGATTCATAGAAAATTGTGGACTATAAAAGAACTCTTAGCCACATTAATTAACTGCCTAGATATACTTTCATAACGCCGGAGAAATCCCATTAAACTATTAAGACTACGTCGAGTTCCATTAGTAAACACCAAGAAATCATCTGCATAGAGTAGGTGGGATATAGGAGAACATGTAGCGGGACCTGATAAGGAGCTGTTCTGCCATCTTCCAGAAGTTTTGTTAGGCCTCTACTTAGAGTTTCTTCTATGAGGATGAATAACAATGGAGATAATGGATCACCTTGCCGAAGCCCACGGGAAGGAATGAAAAATCCAGCTAAAACACCATTAATCTTAACTGAATACCGTGGTGAAGAAATAGCATTTTTAATGAGGGTGACCCAAGTATCAGCAAATCCAAATGCCTTTAACACATCTAACAAGTATCCCCAAGAAACCCAATCAAAAGCTTTTGCCATGTCCACTTTCATTATCACATTGGCGCCTCGAGAGTGCTTATTCAAGTTATGCACTAACTCTTGAGCTAGTACAACATTTTTAGAGATCATTCTACCAGTAATAAACCCATCTTGATTCATAGAAATTAATTTAGGTAAAATCGGAATCAAACGATTGGCAACCACTTTGGATATGATTTTGTAGAATACCTGACATAAACTAATAGGTCTATAATCCTGAAATGTCTTGGGATCTTCAAATTTAAGCACCAAAGCAATAATCGAAGCCCCCAATGCGTCATACAGTTCTTTGCCCCTAAAGAATTCACGAACTGTCGTAACTACATCTTCAACAACCACTGGCCAGGCGTGAATAAAAAGGGATGAAGTAAAACCATTAGGCCTCGGAGCAGAGTCTTCAGATATATCCTTAACTGCATGATGAACCTCTACTTCAGAAACTTCGTTTAAAAGCATGTTATTATCAGAATCAGTGACTAATCTTGGTATAAGAGAAGTCATCTCCCTATAGTCAGTTGTAGAACTATCCTCAGCTTTGAGGTGATTTCTAAAGTAATCAATAGCAGCCTCTTGCATCTCCTCCTGGTCTGTAAGAATACCAACATCAGTGTTAATACTGCGTATTATAGCTTTCGATCTCTTTTGCCTAGCGGAGGCATGGAAGAAAGCTGTATTCTTATCTCCACTGGACAACCATTTAACTCGTAACTGTTGTCTTTTATAGATCTCTTCCTGTAGAAGCAGTCTGTTTAATTCTCCCTTCAGTGCTGTGAGAGTAGCATTAACAGTGTGATCAGAATGAACACTGTTTTCAAGAATAAGGATTTTGTCAGGAGTTTCATTTATTTTCTGAAAAACATTCCCAAAAACAACTTTGTTCCACAGTTTTAAATCAGCCTTTAATCTCTTCAGCTTATAAGATACCCGAGCGATACCAGAAAGGAAGCAAGGTCTCGTCCAGGATTCAGTTACCATAGGGAGAAAAGCCGAGTGTTGAAGCCACATTCTTTGAAATCTGAAGCTCACAGGCCCCCTGTTATTCTCTTCCTCTGTGCGTAGTAGAAGGGGTGCATGATCAGAATGATTGAGCTCAAGATGTACCACCATAGAGTCAGGAAAAGCTGCCATCTAGTTATGATTGACAAGAGCCCTGTCAAGGCGTTCCTATGACAACGAACCATTCCTGTTACGGTGCCAAGTAAATCGAGAACTTGTGAAATGAACATCGTACAACGAATTTCTATCAATAAATTGTACAAAATCTTGTTTAGCAACACGTAAAACTGGACCACCTCCAAGTTTTTCCTCGTCTGTTTTCACAATATTAAAGTCCCCTATCAACATGACAGGCAAATTAGTAGACAGGATATGTGAAAGGGGTGACCAAAGATTTCTCCTCAACAAATAATCACATTTCGCATAAATCACCACCAAAACTACAGATACTCCCTTCCAATCCAAAGTTACGGCAATAAATTGATCATGTGTAGCCAGATTTTTCGGGCTCACACTACCATTATTTCCATCATTAGTTTCAGCAACCACAGTCTCCTTCTCCTCATTTTCTCTTTCTGTTGAGGTTTTCACTTCCAGATTGCTTCTATTATCAGCTAACACTGGGGGATTAATTTTTGAGTCTATCTGCTCGTTTAGATTCAATGCGGCAGTACCACTTTTTCCATTATCATTATCTTTATCAACAGTCAAAACCTGCTCATTTTCTCCCTCTACTAGGATATGAACTCTCAAGTCACGTCTCTTATCAGTAGGCAGTGGTAGAGTAATTCTAGAATTAGAATCTGCCCCACTGTAATGCTGCCTATTCAATCTCTTACTATCAAAACTCTCATGTCCATGTAGCCTACAATGCACGCAATATTTAGGGGATCTCTCATACACCACTTCTTGCCAAAACCCCTCTCCATTATCAGAACCAATCCAAATCACATCCTCCCTTGCAACCGAAATATCAATCTCAACACACACTAGCATAACTAGGTCTTGTAAAAGTAATAGTAGGAAGAGCGGTATCCAAATACTTACCAAGTGGTTTGACAATGGCCTGCAGGTAGGAAGGAATGCAGAAATTCAATGGGAGCAGCGGTAGCCTGATCCAAACTGGAGTAACTGGCGACTCCACTGTAGCATTAAAATCCCTTGAAAATTTGAATAGCCGAAATAAAGAGCCTTCGATAGAATGAGAATCTCTCATCCACGCCTTGGAGAAGTCATATGCGTTCTGTAATTTAATCAGTACATGGCGTCGATCTATGAAGCTGACAATAGGAATTGCAGTTAATCCCCATTTGGTGATGATATGATGTCGAAGAACATCCATACGAGGTTGAGATTTCGAAAACTTCGCTATGAGGGCAAACTGCAAAGGGGCTTCAGACCTCTGTAACTCCAAGGGGAAAAATACTACAGCGTGTTTTCCTTCCTTCCATTGTGGCTGCCTGAGTGAAATAGCTACATCCATCACAGGTATAGTGGAAAGATCATGCCGAATAAGAGACGAAGAAATGGCTGCTGCGTAAGAGATAGGAGTAGTGGGAGAGAAGGTATTGTTCTTCGAATTGGATGGTGTAGAATCTTTATTATGGCCGGGAGGTTCGGCCCTTCTGGCGGATTAGCTCCACCAAGTGAGGCGGCGGCTGTAGATCTAGGGCTTTGGCCGGAATTTGGTGAAGGAGATGGGGTTATTTTAGGAAAGGTGGAGAGAGCATTTTTTCCTGTCAATACGCAATTATTACATAGTCGAACTTGCAAGAAGTCTTTTGAATTAAATAAACATTAAATATACACTACACAATTGATCCTAATAACCAATTATTTAGCCAATCATATAATTAAAATTAAATAAGAAAAGGACAAAAAACATAACGGGTTCATTAAAGGGAATAATTAGTTGTTCCTTGGCACCCAATTCTAAACAATGAGTATTCGATCTACTCTTCAAAATATGTGGATCTTCTGGCCAATTTTGTTCTGCAACCTTGAAATCCCGAATTGAGATACGAATCTTGAGGATTCAGTATATTTGAATCTGTAATTTGACTTTAGGTTGTACTTTCACCTCCCCTAATTTTAAATGCAAGATTGCTGTTCATACATCCCAATTCTGGCCTAAAATAGAGTCCTGACATTATAAGGAATCATAATTTTAGTCCAATTAGGATATCTCAAAATGATGGAATTTATAATTTCACTTATAGAATTTGAGCCCTGTTTACTCTTTTTGTTTGAATCGAGTCCTTAAATATTTCAATGGAGGTCCTTCAACTTTCAAACATGACTCCTTGGTCCCTAACTTCTAGAACATGTCCAACTTTCATCATTTTTACTCAATTATTGTTCGTTTTTATCCGTTCTTGTCCAATTCCGAGCTTTCTACTAAAATTGAAAAATACATAAAGTTAAATATCTCGTTCATAAAATAACTCTCAAAAGTCACTTTTGATAGCCTAGACAAGTGTAATATTTACACTTAGGCTCCGTTTGATTGGCGAAGTTTTCTAGGGAAGTAGGAAAATATTTTCCTACTTTCACTTTTTTGACTGTTTGATATGCGAAATTTTCCACGGAAAATGTTTTCCTCCCTTTTTCTAGGTACAACCCTTTGATGCACAAAT